GTGCCGAGATGTTCGACAAGGCTGTCCGGGCAGTAAAAAGATACGAGACGTAGAAAAATCCTCCTAGCTTCGGCTCTCTCGTCGCCTTCTAGCTGCGGTGGGTTGGTACATAGTATATTTATCTGAATAGCGGAATAACTCCGTGTCCGTGTCTCAACTATCGTAAGTTTTATTTATCAATATCATCCACATGTATCAGAGGTTATTGCTATGTATGCTAAGAGCAATAATGTTAAATAATAACTTGTCTCGGTCGTCGTGTGTATATTAATAAGTTGATAAGTTGATAAGTTAATAAGTTAATAAGTTAATAAGTTAATAAGGCGAACCATACAACTACAACCTCGCAAGATCCCTCGAGGCATCGAATCGCTAGATCAATGTGTTCTATGGATTCTATGTATGTACGGATGTATGGAGGTCACCCATTCTTACTATGCGTACATATGTGTATGCATGTACAGCCTGCATACATCCAGCTCTCGTCATGTACTTCTCTCCATACTCCTGTTGACTGACGGACATGCATGGCCTGCTGCATCAGTGCATACAGCCCCGCATCACGACTGTCTCCTATGGGCTATCACAATGATCTATGGCCTGATCCCAAGCGCGCTAAGCTTTTCCCCTTTTTTATTTATCGACATCCAACTCTTCTTATTGATTAACTACTCCGTAATCCGTACTTGGCCCGTCACGTACATGTCTTCGCGCAAGGCGGACTGAGACATTCACCGTGTTCTTTTCACGACCTGCGTATTAGATATCCACCCAGTTGTAGTCGTAGAATTGCGAATCTTGCACCATACATCAGTCCAGCATCCCTGCAGCTAACCTCTTTCCGGGGTTATCGCCGGGTTTTCTACTACATACATACATAGTACCTACTACGTACCTACTATTAAGGTGCCTCTCTTGAAAATGATGGACCCCCTTGTAAGCCGCGGTTAGGGAGTGACGAAACATGAGCCGTCGACGGGCGGCGGCTTAGTGTATGGTCCCGCAAGATCAAAGATCAACTCCTTCGCGGGTACCTGCTTACACGTGTAAATCCCACGGGGCCTGATATGGTATAGAATATAGATTTAATCCTTGAGATTTAGGTTGCTGAGTTACATTATACCACACATGCTCTTTAACGCATCTACATATGAAGTCGAGAGGATCGTCGCGTAGGTCTATTATATATTACATGGTATCTACCTACCATGTAAGCCGGGGTCTTGATAGATCTGCCCGCGTCGGTCGAAAGAAGTCTTGGTATTTAATAATGCTACACCCCGACTTTCGCGCGCCGCGCCGCGGCGCGAGTGAACAGAAGAGAAAGAGGGCAAAAAGTGTAAAAGTGTACATAAGATAGCCCCTCTAGAGGTTCCATCCTATCATACATATGTGTACCTGAAATTCATCTGTTGCGTCATGCTAACGTGAGATGTGGCACAACCTTTTTCAGGGAAAGAGATCGCCAACGGCCTCGAGGCGGCACAGACGGTGTCGTACAGAAAATGGCGCGTCGGCTTGTCTTATGATTTGACCAGTCTACTTTTTCATCGAGACCACCCCGGCGAGCCTTTTGGTCAGGGCATGGATGGGGATGGGCATATGGATATGGATATGGATACATATGGATATGTATATGGGACCCAGAGCTCCACTCGCGAAAGCATATCGCATCCTTCGTCGTAAGGATCAGAAAGGTCGTACCTAAACGACAGGAGCAGCTTGCCAAGCTAGCAAGGCTGCGTGGTGTGTGCGCGTCTATAACGTTATGTACGCAGGTATGTACATATGCTGGTGCTGGTGTAAGCTTGGTCTGCTTGCTAGGTATGTATGTACGTACAAGCAAGTTACTGAGATCGTGTTGCAACCGACTAGGTTAGCGGCAGTCGATGATCTTCGTTCGAAGCGGAGTCTACTGGCCGGTCCTACTGCCTTGAAGCAGGCCAGACGCGCACGCCAGCCTCTTTTCCTTATACATATATGTTAGGTACTTACATATACATTACATAGGTATTAGTTAGTATGAGCTGCTATGGATTCCAACTCGCCTTGCCTCATTTGCCGCCTCACCCACCGGCACCGCGGCAAGATTTACCATAACATTAGACTATCTACGTACAAAGATGGATCTAGGTCTAACACGTTTTGGTCCCTTTTACATACATCAAGGATACGTATCTCGAACCATATATTCTCGATCGATAGATAGATACACTCGCTCAGGTCTGGATCTGCTCGTTTCATATGTATGTAGATACATAGCCCCGTCTAAGTATATCTCCGTGCCTTGCTGTGCTGCGACCGCGGAAGCCTTGCGTCGAAGAACCATCGCCTGTTCTCAAGCCGTTCGTTTGTCTTTCTCATCTGCCGCGATCTGATCCGCTGTACATCAGGTATGTATGTACATATGCCCTCCCCACCTCTCTTCGTCATCATTAGATCCTTGCTGCTCGAACCTGATGTCGACGACGGCTCGCGCCAGATGTTCCTTTTCGAGCTTTGATTCCTTCTGTACATAGTAATACGTATATCATTAAGTATACCAAGACGGGCAACTGCTTCTCTTTAGGACAAAGGTTACATCTCCGCGCACTTGGACTGTTGAAACGCGGGCGAGGCAGGCATATATAGTGAACCCCCACCAAATCCTCTAATCTTGGTTATGAGGTTACCATCCCGTAGAACGACGACAATCTTGGGGAATATCTTGGGGAATAAGCATCAAGAAGCATAGGCTACTAGTAAGTTAGCTACAGCTTTCGCTATCGCGCCAACGTGCGCAACACACCGAGTGCTACTAAGCTAGTTAGAGCTTGACGACTGTTACCAGTCAATGAGCTCTCTTGTTTACACGCGATTGTGGTTCGTACAATATTAGCTGCATCTCGGATAGTGAGCTCCTCCTACTGGCAAGGGTTCCTAAGTTTGGTTCAGCATATATTAACCACCACATATTACCATTATAGCCCGGCCCCTTTTTAAGATCATGGTTTGAAGCGTGTGGCAATCTCGGGTCAAAGTAACCCTCGACCTCGTGAAAAGGGCCCCCAACCAATATCACTTATCATGTACTTCTAATAAGTTAGATAGGTATTGTACCTATATCAGAAATGCCCTAAGCTATCAGTTAGTTAATAATCGTCAGAACATCCGTTCAAAGCTATACTACGAACTAAGTTTAATGAAAATCTCTTTTTTTTTTTTTTTTTTTTTTTTTTTTGCCACAAGCTTCGAACCGCTTGACCGCTTCATTACCCAGGAGATTTCACACGCTTCTCGAACCAAAGTTTTGCATCTCTACCAGTCCGGAAGTAGACAAGACTTTGTCCCATTTAGTCGTCGACACTGACATCAGGATCCACACGCGTTCAACGGCTGTGGAGTCTACTCCGTGTTGGTGATTTGACCTAGCAGTTTTAACTACTCGAAACTAGAGACCTTAGAGATGACTTAGTGAAAATGCCCTTGAAACTTCTGGAGGCCATGGTGCGGGATCAGGGGGAATCTCACTGCCGTAACCGTAAGAATATACCCAGCAATTGGAGACTCGAAGCAACCAAACCACATGGTTTGGTAGTCGCCGTATGTACGTATAGTACATATATAGTACGGTAGCTATCTGACCTGCCCCTACGCTGCAGCGAAATGCTACTCTACCTACCCATCTATTATGTAGATGTAGTGTATCAGGTACGTACGGCTGGCATGGCTTCTGGCAGAAAAAGAGACGAAGGGAAAAATGTCCGGTAACATTTCCCCTGACTGATTGTTACCAACCTGGTCCCTGTTGACTTCTGCTAGGCCTAGACTATGTAGGACCAGCCCCAGTCAGTTCGTGGAGGACGACTAGGTACCTCGGTTTAGCTTCTTGGCTTCTTAACTTATTTTACTTAGGCCACATACAAATCGACGAAATATCTGGCGCGATCTGCCGACTTCATTTTGGTTAACCTAACCCTCTCTGGCCTTATGTTGAGTCGCCCATGTTGATACAAATATGATACATATCACTATCGTCAGATTAGGAAAACGAAAGCTTAGGTACCTACCAGGGACGACGACAAGGACCTTGTTTTGTGGAGGCGAGTTTACATACTAATGCCTATTTGATATGCCCAAAGCTCCCAAATCTCCGCGGCCACGCGCGTACTCTTACCTATCTTATAATATCGATGACGGTAATTAAAAATCAAATATCTTGCCACTTTGTGCGCGCCGTCATCGCAGTGGTAGGCAATAAGAATCTTGAACGAAGAGGGCGGCTGCCAGCTCGTCACATTGGAGTTCGATATCACCTGCATCGCTTCGCGAGAATGGCATTCTATTTTAGAATACATGTACAAGCACCACACCTGCTCTTGCGAAAGACGAGCTGTCAAATGATATGCGATCGCTAAAGCGCGGTCGCAAGCGAGGAAGCACTCGACAGGGCGCGCGGACCATTACACAATATCTACGTATATGGCTTGAGTAAGCGGACAAGGCATACCTTTGGCCCATGACCTCTCTGCAGGCCTTTATTAGTACCGGCATAAGTGGCCGTTTCTTTAGAGGATAGGTAGAGGATATCGCTTCCTCTGATCAGCTAGGCCTTTCTCCAATCAGCCAACCAGTAATTCGGCTCGCGGCTAGAATGTTAGAGAGATAGAGAGTCCCCCCGTAGCGAGTACCTACATAGTACTACGATGTAGTGTAAAGGATGCGGCTGTTACGCCGATTCCCGTCTTATAGGATGCTTCGACGAAAGCTGTGTCGTTGCTTGGGGGCGACTCTGCCAAAATGTACTCCAGTCCTATCGAATGCTGTGGTACCCTCCAAGAGCTCTAAAAGCTTACATGGCCTATGGCCTCCGAAGTGGCGTGCTGAGCTTGTGTCCAGCTGTGGATCGCTTTGCTAGGCACGCTGATCCAAATCGGGAATGTGCTGGGTGCTATGTACGGGCGTGATCTGTGCTATGGCTCTGTATGGCATGTAGCGTAATGGCATTGTTAACCTCCGCATTTCTTAGCCTAGGTATGTAGTCAAGGCTTGTCAGGGTTTGCTAGGCTTGCTAGGCTTGTTAGGGACCTGCTCAACTCGTCCTGCCAATTGTCTATCGTAGATTATGAGCAGATATTCAACTCGCCTTGTAGCCACTTATCGTTGGCGTGGATGGCTGCTCTTGGTCCAGTTGACTTATAAGACAGTTAACGGCCATGCTAATGCATTCTATTATCTGCACTCGGCCCACACACCTCACCCTTCTTCCCACGACAATTCGACAATTCGCCAATTCGACGCGCTTCATCTCGGGTCTTTCTCGCTGTAAAGCCGTCGAGATAATCAAACATGCAAGCGAAATTCCTTGATATTGGCATCGTCTCTCTGTCTATTGCTTCTCCATCGCCGGTTCCGGTTCGTGGGCCGAAACCTATCCGTATCATTCCCTATATCAGCCCGTCTGCTATTAACAAGGCGGCGAACTCGTTAGCAGCCTCCTTCCTGGGCCATTAGCAGGAAAAGGCAACCTCGAGATAGGTAATGAATACCTACATGACATACAAGGGTCCAATAAACTTGTGTGCGCTTTTTGCGAAGCGAGCTTACTGGATCCCCGCCGTGCCCCCCTTGTCGCCAGGCCAGAGAGCAATCTCGTGAACCGATATTTTTTACTGTACCGTAATGTCTGGTACCGTACCCACCACACCCCCATGCTCCCGCGCTTTTCCTTTCTGGCTCTTCATCGGCGGATATGTCCAACGGCCTTTCTAGAAATTAGCGGGCCCTCCTCTACGTACCCAGCTAAAGCCGTCGGAGGATTTCCTAACTGATCAGTATCTCCCCTGTTGGGGGCCAGGGCAAGCATTGGGCAAGACGGAGCTGCATGGAGGGGCTTTTATGTATTTTACAAGGGGTATCTTGAATGGCTCTCTGCTAGCCTCTTGTCGATAGGCCCCCGTGCCTCCATATGATCCATGCTCTTTTACATCTCTACCTGCCTACTCTGTACCCCCTCCATCCGCACTCACATACGCACATCCTCTAGAGAAGGCCTTGCCATCATCTTCATCCGCAATGGCTAGGCCCGTTTGCCGGTGGATTTTGGATTTTCGGAGGAGGGTACAGGATCGAGGTACCTTAGCCCCTGTCATAGTCGGCAGACAAATTGAAGGTTATTATGGGGCAATACTGTCGTTGAATGTCTTGTCCAGCCAGTACTGTACAATCTAGCCAGCTTGCGCTTACATTCATTGCATGTCTTCAGCTCTCTTCGCTAAAGTTCTGACTGTATCTTTGTAGCCGTGAGGTTCAGAAGGTTCAGAACGCTCAGGCTTCCTTCTCCTGTTGTCTTTGTCAAGTGAATGCGAGGGCCAATGTACTATCTGTTTTCTCTGCCCATTGATAGCTTCCAACGGTTGGCGCTTCTAAGGCCTGAAGGAACAAGCTCTTGTAGATATTGTCTGGGGCCTATCAATCAAGTCCCGGCTAGGACTGAGAGCCCTGTATCTTCCCCCAGCCAGATCGCCATTAGCTCCGTTCTCCTTCCCAGTCGGGCTGCATGCACTGTACTCTAAACCCATGTCAGTTGTAGGTGCTAAAGGTCTCTGCACCAGACCCCCAAGTCATTTCTTGCTCTCTCATTGACTGGGCTGGGCCATCTCCGCTTGGCTAGGGACCCGTTAACCGTTAAACATGCCCCCCAGGGTAATGGATAATACCGTCCTCTGTACAAAACAGTCCCCTCAGAGGCAACATCTATCCTACTGTATCTCGTTCCATCCCATACAAGTACACTTCGGCCTGCAACCTTACCTTCTTTCAACGTTCACTTTATTCTGACTTCACCTACCTGTACAAGGAAAGTGAGCCATTTCCTATCAAGGTGTTGTCTTTCGACAGGAACTTGGACTTGGCAAGACAACTAGTTTGAACATCTGTGAGCCATTATTGCTGCGAGGCTAATGTTCTGAGTAAAACGTCTTATTGTCTGGAGGGGGAATAAAATTGAAAAGGAAGAAGAAGTAGAAATTTATCAGCCGGTGGCGCACGAGTACAGGTCTTGGAAGCGCGACTGGGACGTAGGCTCCCATGTCAGCCACAACAACTTTGACGGCGACCATGGCAGAGTTGAAGCCGGAGCCAGCGCATAGTAGTCTTTGGTCGAACTATGGCGGTCCGGTGTCCTTGTCAGCTCGATTCCCTAATACCATGGAGTCGAATCTTTCGCACCCGTCGACGACATCTTCGCAACATCCGGGCCGGCCCCGAAGCAGCCACCCGACTATCGATCACCCTTACCCGTACCCTAGATACCCGCAGGAGGAGTCGGATGGATTTGACAGATACCCGCAACCGTCTCTAACACAACATCACAGCTTCCCTAACCTAAAGAGGCCTCACCAACCTGGTGAGCACCCGCCGTACCAGGAGATTGTGCAGGACTTGAGAGACGACGGGTCGAAGCTCACTGTGAACCATGATCATAAGTTGCTTTCTTTCCGGAGAGTCCAGGACAAACACACCATCGTCGACCAGCATGGGCGAATGCAGCAGCTTGAGCTTACTGCGCAGCTCCACGGCATGTTCTTTCTCTCGGAAATGCCTTCAAGTACGAGCGACGGCGCGATTCTGCAACCTGAGCTAACATGCTATCGGAGAAACCTGTTTCAGATCAGTGGTTCGCTCATCACACCGCGAGGCCAGCTCTCAGTGATTCTCCCCGAGACGGGCGAAACAGTCCCCGTGAACAACACCGAAGTCACCATCTCCGCTATCGAGTCCGTCGATGGTCATCCCGTGAGGCTAATCGTCATTCCCTGGAAGACACCACCGCCGAATTCTCCGGAACTACCCCAGACCCCGGACCAGGAACCTCCATCGTTACCACTAATCCCATTCCCGGATGATGGACAGGAAGCGGAGGGCGAATATGCTGTATATCCTATCGGGTGGCGGCGGCTGCAATTCAGAATGTAGGTTGTCTGATTCAGGGGTCTTGATCATCCCACTATAAGGCTTAGTCCTCTAGTTCAATAAGCTGACGCAGATTCCATAGAGCAACGGCAAATAATGGAAGGCGGAAAGAACTTCAGCAACATTTTGTGCTACACCTAAAGGTAGTAGGGACATTAGCAAACGGGTCGAAGGTGGTTCTAACAGAATCTACAACGGCACCGATCGTAGTTCGGGGGCGAAGTCCGCGAAACTTTCAGGCTCGAAAGGAAATCCCTCTCCTGGGATCTAGTGCCGGCTCGCGGGGGCAAGCATTGGTTGAAACAGGACTAGGCATTGTTGCAGGTCCCTTGACTGTAAAGCCTCAGGACCCGAAATTGCGTGGCTTGAATCTGGAATTACCGCGGACGGCGTTTACTTTCAACGCATCAAAGCTCCCTGGGAGCCCGATGACGATGAGGTCCAAGTAAGTTCTTCTTTTATCCCATTTCGGGGGACTTACATCCTACTTTAGCGGAGCAAGATACAATGCCTTGAGGTGAATGAGACGAGTAGATAGGAGGCTTTCCGTTGACCTTTTCATCCTGGAGATTGGAGCTGACGAGAGATTCTAGTTCGTACCCCAGTTGGAATCCTCCTAGCCAGTTGCCCATGTCCGGAATGCCGACTTCGGCTACTGCCAGCTACCCGCCAGCGAGTATACCTGCCGATTCGTACCAGAAAATGCCACTCTCAGGATCATCGAATTTCACACAGGAGCCACAAGAGATGCCCATGCAGACGTCGATGCCGTCGATGCAACTTTCCCTAGCCGCAACGGAGCAGCAGCCGCCAGCAATCCGGACGCAATACGCCTACGTACAGGGAACCTCGGCTCCGCCTCAGCTCTCAGTAACAACAACGTCGATGGGCAGCAGCTCAGATCACAGCAATCTCAACGTACCGCGGTACATCGACTCGAACCCGAGGCCAACTAAGAGCCCGCGTCACGGTAGCCACCAGTCCGTACCCAGCACCAGCTCTATAAGCAATAGCAATGACACATCTGAGTACCGGTACGGGCCTTCAGGGTATGTACCCGTGAACAGCAGCTCCAGCGAGCTCAACTCGGCATCTACATACAACGCTGACAGCACGAGCAGTGGACAAACCGGGCCTGCCTCCAGTGCTCCTTCATCGGCAGGTGGTCACTCTCACCATCAACAACCTCAATCGCAACAGCCGCCACCTCGCGATTATTATCCACCTACGACATCATGGACAACGACTGCAGGCGAACCCAGCAGCTCCACTGCCCACTCATACCACAATAGCGCCGCGACGGGCAACGAAAGCAGTAGACCGTACGCATTTCCGAGCAAAAGCGATCACCCACCGGCGCCTGGGAGCTATGCCTCAACTTTAAACCATTATTCATGGAGCCCGACGTGAGAGTTAGTGCTTCAACATAATAAAATGAGGAAAACGATCAAAGTTTATTGAACGTACTTCTCATTTTTCCATTGTGGATCGGTTATTCGATCACGCTGTGCGCGCATTGAGGGAATGCGCGTGTGCGAATAAGAGAAGGGGTCAACTGCTCTCGTTGCCATAAAAAGCGCGACTTGTATTGCATGTCGCCTGTATAGTATTTTAATGAAAGCTGGATTTTGTTTCTTACTCGAAACCCGCGGTGGAAGAAAAAGGGACAAGCTATTTTCGAAATTCCAGATCCCTTACGGAGGACATGTATAGGGCTACTGGGGAGGCAATGTTCGGAGTGACGGAGTAAAGAGGAGAGGGCGGAAATCATGGTCTCCGTGCTGAGAAGAGGCACCATTGCTGCGGTGGTTGTGTATCTGGTGGTTTTCTCTTATATCGATGCTCATTCGTGTCTTTCGCTAATAGCGAGCGCGACCCTCTCGGCCATCTTGTTTGGGCATATAGCATACACGCCAATGCTTACAGAGACGGGTCGGTATTGAAATATCCGGAGTTGGTTTCCTGTTTCTCGTATTGTTGTCGTTATTTTGAGTTGGAAATCGTCATTTGCTATTCGATATCCCCCTCGTTCGTATCATACGTACCATACCATACCATTACCATGCAGTATCATCGACATTACGTCCTATACAAACTGGCACAAGCGATCAGGGCGACCACAGTGTTATCTCTCCAGCGATCAGGACTCATGTGATATGATAGGCGGGGTTGCTAGAGTGGTAATTCGTTGTTGTTGCCGTTTGCGATGCCCGTTCCCGTGAATTAAGCGGCGGGAAAGAAGAGGCTAATTCTGAATAATATCGATGTTCATCTCGAACGCCAATTCTGTTCTTCCGCTTAGCACGGTAGCATGGTCTGGCTAAGAAGAGAGTGTTTTGTCCAAAAAAAAACATCCGAGCGCGAGGTTTTCTGGGCGCAGTGGTCACTGTCCAAGCTCCAGAAGCGGGCAAAAAATGAGAATTGTTTTTAGAAGGCTTCTAAGACAAAATCTAGGATTACTGATACCTGTACTTTAGTAAAATAGTAAAAGTGCGGAACTCACAATCTATATAGCGTTGGATGGTTTGTGGGACCTGGTTTTCAGCTTTCAGCCGCTAGGTCTTGTATTGTATCATACCAAGGCACACGGCGTCTGTCCGTTCAAGCTAAAGCCTTTCATTTGCTCGTTGTGTCTATCGTCTTTTTAAGTGCGGACTATTGCTTCACCATTATTTAGTGACCAATTTTTCATGGGTATAGAATGTAGGTGTGAAGGAAGTAAGCTGAGATGGGACTCCATAAAGTAACCTCGGGGAGCTTCCAGTGCAAAGTCATTTACAAAAACTGTGTTAGCGATTGAAATATAAAGCTATGATTTGTTGGCATTAATTTTGCCTTGGCTATATTTACGAATCAATGATGGGATAGAGAGGTGTAGAAGAGTAGAAAAGAGCAATCGAACTAGCAACTGGGAAATTAAATTACTACCTACCTTAGGTAATATAGTAACCTAGTAGCTTATTCCTGCCCGTTTGGTTACACCTATACATTTACTTTTTCGTGCCTTTTTCCACAACTACCCCCTAACATGTACTTTCCTTCTTACCTTAGGTACCTACATATGTAGATAGGTACTGTGGTAGGTACTCTGTTAGGGAGACGGGTGTAGTATCGCTAGTTAATCTAAGGTAACACGAAACTCTAACATACGGCCGTTACTAGCTTGGAGTTTACCTAATGTACGAATTGGCTGAAGTACATATGTAGTAATACGTGCTCAGCTAAGATTACCTAGTGCCGTTCCAGATTGTCGGGACGAGAACTGGTCATGCGGGCGCTCATCCGTTCAGTCCGGTGCAGATAGTGGCTGAAGAAAATGGCCCCCATCCGTACACGTCCATATTCGTACTACTTAGGTTAGCTTATTTGAGTACCTAGACTTTTTTTTATAGTGGTCCAAGCTTCGCAACAACACTTTTCAATTCTTTCAAACTGCCTACCTCTTAGGTCGCACATACGACCGGTCTATTATATGAAGCTAGGCAGTGTTAATTCATAGCAAACACATTCGATCAACAACTATTAGTTTTCAATTCTACATATCTGGGACTGGAAATCATATTAACTACTTCTACTATGTTTGATGTTCCTGATGCTAAACGGTATGTGATTTTTATCTATTCATTGTTTTCATTTCGAAGCTAATAGTAAACGCGAAAGAATTCGGCGGGAAGAATTATATGATTCTGCCTCAGATGAGGAGGCGCCACATGATGATCAATGGGTTTCGACCTTGCGAGAGAAATTAAATGCGCAGTTCTCTGGTTTACTGGGTCTCAGCTCTGTAACAGATGGAGATACTAGAGCACAACAAGTCCCAGAATCTCACGAAGGAAATGCAAATGAAACCCTTATGGATGGGGATGACGTTAAGGAGTCCCAAGAGGAGACCTTTACATTCAGGTTATTTCGGGATGAGGAACCCTTGCGGAAGGTAGTACTCGAACCCCAAAATGCTGGTATGGAAAAGGGTGGCGATGGCGCTTTCGTGGTTGCTAAACGGCCGATCTCATACTACTTGGCTGGGGAACTGCCACTTGAAGCTACGGATAGATTCAGGATGGCTGCAGTTAGCGCGGATTACCTCTTCCAAGACGCAAAAAGGAGACGGTGGGGACTTGAGAAGCCATGGAAAGTCACAACTGTCACTATCACTAAAAATAATAAAATGAGGGCTCCGGATAGTTCTGTTGGCAAGAACGCAGCTGCTGATGTAGAAAAGAAAAGAAAGAGGCCAGGGAAGAAGAGAAGAATTATTCTGAGAACGCGTGAGAAGGCAAAGAAGGAACAGGAGGAAGCTGCAAAACAACAAACAGTAGAGAAGGAAGAGCACCTGAAGGACAAGAAAAAGAGACTGAATAGACAGAAAAAGCTAAAGCGGAGAGCTAAGGAAAGAGAAAAGAAACAAGGCGTGAAGGATGACGCGGGTTCTGAGCATAGTAAAAGGGACAGTTCGGACTAGGAGGAATAATTAAGCCAATACCTTATTTGTGATATTCAATATAGTTGGATGTTAAGGAGTTCATAGGTTAAAAATGTTATAATGATTAGAAGTTATTATCATCGTGATCTCTATTAATAGTTATCATTTTGGGTTTCTTAATCGTACCTACCTACCTACCTAACCCAGGTATTAACCTACATATAGGTATGGACATACATAAGGTACCTTGTTATAGGTACCTGTCTATCACAAGCTTACGCCACACTACAAATCTTTCTGTGCGTCGCATGCATAATCAAGCCACATATTTTTTTTAAAAAAAAATCCCACCTAAGGTCATTTAAGCTTTATCAATTACATTTAAGGACATCAGGTACGTACCCCGTCAATCTGCCCACTTCATCTATTCACGCCGTGTCTTCTAAGTAGGCCTACTTCTAAGCAAGCAAGTATTCTACGTTTCGGCGCTCTATCGTCTTAATAATTACTTCTTTCTGTATATCTTTGACAACTTCTCACGAATCCTTCTCTTAGCTATGTGTATGGTCACTTGCAATTCCACTACGGTTATGTACCCTTGAAGGACAGCTGCGATCTGAGCCCCGCAACGCGTCTCCGGATATAATGAATTCGTTGTGGTCGTCAAAAGCTGCCGAGGATGGTGCTAATGCACCAAAGGCATCGGTGGACGTAGCAGATACGGGGGTTGCTGATGTCGGACCTGGAATAACGAGCGCAGCGCCTAGCCAACAACAATCTATGCGACCTCAGATACAGCGAAACCAAATCCAGTCAACCCCGCCTGTACAGGCCGCAAGCAGCCAGCCGCCTGACTCTCTCTCCCTAGCACAGCTACGACGCATAGTGTCCGAATTCCCTCGTTCTGAAGCCGCCGCGTATGACTTTGAATATTCTGATACAGCACCTCACGAGGAGGAGATTGACGAATGGTTTGTCTATCAGCCTTGGCAATGGATTCGGTTGAACGCTGCCCAACGGGCGTTCGAGTGGCAGTGGGAGCACGATATAGCAGCTAGAAAGGATGAAATTACTTGGGATGAGGCAGACGATGAGGCCAGGACAAACTTCATCCTACAGGCACTAGACGGAGTTAGAGCTAGTGATGCTGCCACGCGTGGCGCTGCGATAGGAAGACTTACATATCTTGTCCTGGGCCGGTGGACAGATACTGCTGGTTCGCCCCAAGGCGACAGGACGAATCCCCGAAGCGTTGCAACACCTGCCCAGCTTGCCGCAATGAAATCTGGTGTCGAGTTGATTGCAGAGTGGAACGGTATTCTCGTTATATGGACAGCTTTGCGCAGCGCGTTTGAGATATTATGGTATTTTATATCTACTAAATTTGGTGGCTATTATCATACTAATACTTGTGCAGGTTAGATGAACCCCAGAGACCGCAAGGGAGTAGCTTGGCGGAGGCACAGGACGAATTGATGAATTTAATGACCATAATGTATATGTGTATACAGGAAACGCTTAACGACCCGGATGGAATGATAATGGTTTACGAAAAGCTCCGTGAGTGTAACATTATTGAAGTCATTTTGGGATGTTAAGCTAAGAGTCTCAGTGGAATTAGAGCCTCATCTCACAACATTCATGCTCACAGCTTCCGCCAAGCTGCGATGGCAAGAATTAAACGTTGTGCCGGCTCCTCAGGTACGACACTTTCTAAGGCGACTCGAGTACCCTGCTAATTAACTAGACGCTTTTGTTGCTATGGAAGTCTATCCTTCTGGAGTTCGGTGGAACTCCAGAGATTGAAGAAACGAAAAGGGCCCTTAGGGAAACGGCTACTGACGACAAGGAGAAAGACCTGATTATGGCGACACCTCTCGACTATCATGTTTTTCGACAAGAGATCACATCAAAATACCCTGCCTATGTACCTCCTCAGCCAGTAATACCCCTTGAAGCAGACAACACCTCTCTCCTACCTCCGCTGCCCAATCACCCTACTAGGAATAATGGATCGAATGGTATACTTCCTGCTCCTCCTGGAACGCAGAATGGAGGCGCATCTATCCTCCACCAACCTGTTCACATTGCGACGCCTGCGCCGTCTCCTCCCCCATCTCCGGCTGCCGGTGGTAAAGGAGGTAAGAAACAAAATTACCAAACCAACCAGAACTTCCCTTTCATGTACCCTCCATTGGATGCCACCAGTAATAGCGCAGGAGGCAAGGGTGCTGCTGGCCTTCAAGATTTCCTTGTTGGCCGTAAATGGGAAGGCAGTGATGTACCCGCATCCATTCTCGAGGCTGGCGAGTTGTTCTCGAAACGAGTGCGCATGACCCGAGCTACAAGGCAATTGTGGGAAGAGCGCGAGAAGTTTCAAAAATTCGAGAGGGGATGGGATCCCTCAGATGATGACATAGAAGACCTAGACCTGGATGGTCTTAATCTTGACGACGATGTTGATGATGATAAGCTTCTGGAAACCATCGAGAAGAGAGAGAAGAAAGCACGAGGCGCCGAGATCGACTATGGTCCGGACCCAAATGTTGATCCAAGGGTCAAACGACGATTAGAAGCCATCGAAGCGTTTTACGTAAGTGATAGTACGTTTATGCTAGTGAATTTCGACTGACTATTGATAGGCTGCTGCTTTGCCTCAACTACAGTCATTGATTATAGTTCTGATGAAAAGCATATTATTCAATGTTACTGCTTGTATTGCTCTCCCTGCTAATAGCCAGCAACAATCACAAATACCAGGGGGCAACCAGCCCCGCGTTAATGGCGGTCCTGGTACAAATCGATCGCAGGATAGTTCTATGGGAGCTAACAGCTCGATCAACCCAGACGGTTCCGACAGTTCCTTGGAGGATTTGGATGCTACCAGATGTAGAGAGATTGAATCGAAAGCCGCTACGGGTATCATTCTCCTGCTTATGAAATGGCTCAAGATCTCGCGTAAGTAATACGCATACCAGTTCTGGATTTAGTATACTAATTGCCCGCCTAGATGTTTTGAAGTTTGAATACTTGGCTCAACTACTACTGGATTCTAATTATCTTCCTTTGGTTCTCAAGTTGTTCGCACATCAAGATATTCAACAAGTAGTCGATAGTAAAACCGACCGCCTTGAACACAGGTAAGGGCTCTACAACTACTATACATTTCGACATATCTCACAAATCTTAGTTTCTTTCAGTTCTGCAACGATCGTGCTCATCCTCCAGAAAAAGTACTGCAAGAGCCAACAGAGATCGACGGGCCAGAGGAGGAAAGCGAGGACGATGCGGCGCCTCCACCCATAAAACGGCGACGATCGCTGCACGAACAAGTGGCCGAAAGCAGCGAGCTCGCGAACAAGACAGAAGGGCAGCTCCCCGCTCGTCCTGAAGTAGACGAATTAGGCTATCCCGTAAACCCCCTGCCCAAGGAGCCTATCACCGATTTTTCGCGCCGAAATTTCTTCGCCCTCATCAATTACCTGCGAATCATGCAGAAGATATGCAAGAACAAAGCGCATCGCAATTTACTACTCGTACAGTATAAATCGTCAAATATCATAAGGAAATCACTCAAGGTACCGCAGACCGAGTTACGACTGTACACGCTGAAGCTCTTCAAAAACCAGGTCCCGTACTGTGGTCGTAAATGGCGGCAAGGTAATATGCGTGTCATTACAGCGATATATTTGCATTGCCGCCCAGAGCTTCGCGACGAATGGCTGGCTGGTAGCGATGTAGACGCGGAAGTTGAAGAAGCACTGCCGCTCGAGCAAGCCCTCCGGAGCTTGACACACTGGTTCAACGTCCGGAGGTACCCGGATCAGATGGCGGCAGATATTAGAGAGGCGCTACGAAACGAGCAAGACTTTTTCAAGCGCGAACTCGAGAAGCTAGACGTGTGGGCCGATGTCGGGCAGTTAGACAATATGAACGCCGAGTGGGATCACAATGGACACGGCTCTGCATATGGTTGAGTTTGGCGGAGTATTCGACACATCTCTTAGGACCGAAGGATTATCCCTATTCGCGAAGTTTTGGCCGTTTGCCTACTTACTGTATTTGGCTACAGTACATCCTATTTAGATGCGACCAGGGTTCCATCATGGATATATGTTGGGTCCTCGGCTGGTTATCAAATTGCCCAGGTAGTTTAGGTACTTTTTAAGGACGTAGGTATAAACTATTATACTACCTAGGTAAGGTATACGGGATAGATTCGGGGTTGGTGGGCTACGTTGGGCCCGGTAGTACATAAATCTGGATTCTGCACTCAAGCGGACTCGCAGGCCTAGCATGTACATGTACCGAAACAGCATGTCAAATAGCCCCGTTGGATCGACCTTGCATATACCTTAGGTACTAATTCATGATCGTATAATGCGCAAAATGTGCGTAGGTGGCTTAGCCAGCTTCTATGTACTATGTAGTATTGGTTAATAGTTGGATGCGATATAGAAGCTTAAGCAAGTATGGGTAAGGGTTAGTTTAGGCACCTAATGTAGTCTCCCTATTGTGTTCCTTGGGGCTAGTACTTGATTCTGTCTTATACATGTCCAATGAATATCGCGATGCGGAGTGCTGTTGGCGCCAGCATATCATAGCTCCGGCGAGGTCCCCAATCCTTCAGATACAAATACCTACCTAACCTAAAGTACATAATATACATGTATGTATGTATGTATGTATGTATGTACGTATGGATCCGTACGCTATAAGATAGGCGCCGCAAGCTTGACCCCCACGATGCATACCTAGGTAGGTACCAAGGTATGTAAGACCCCGGGCCAACGTCCAACCTGGTATTTCGTACAAAGCGGGTACTTCGTACATAATATAATAAAGAGAATTGGAGAGTTATTACATACATGTAGTGAGCAGCAACCGTTAGCCCGTATTGCATCATCATGCAATTGGGAACTCCATAGTAAAACCAACAAAAACCCGTCTCCATCCATCCCTCCTCGGCATCTTGCCAAGGGTCGACTATTGACCGGGGAAGATGTATGTAAGTCGCCTATGCCTGCCTACACCTACATACATACCTACCTACCTAGGTATCTAATGTATGCAGACTACCTCCTAACGTGCTGTAGACCCGCCGCTACCTAGCAGCGGGTTTCCAATACGTCCGTTTATCTGTCTGCTATCACATCATAATCACATCGCCTGCGCGCAAATCACAGACAGAGGAGGGTGCGTCTATTTATTGTGTTCACTTACATTGCATATACACACGCAGCGCAGACCGACCGCAAATCGATGTAGGCGCTGGAAGAGCGGGAAAAATAAAAATAAAATAATCGAAAAAGGGAACAGAGATGGTGGCGGGTGCGGACGGCAAGACCTCCCCGGTCTTGTCCCTGGTCGCCGGCGGCATCGCGGGGGGTGTCGAGTCGGCCTGCACGTGGGTTTTCCTTTCCCTTTTCTTGCTATCGATCCCTACCTGTCTATACCCCTATATTGTATCGCCTCATACTACATACCTAGGTTAGGTAGGTAACTATACCTGCTATGCGTATCCAAGTTGGGCAATTCAGCACGTGAACTAGATAGACAGATAATCTAACATCATCGTCATCATCGTCATCATCACAGATACCCCTTCGAGTTCGCAAAGACCCGCGTGCAGCTATACGGCCATGAGGGCATCAGAAACCCGTTCATGGTCGTTGCTAAGGTGGCTCGGGAGGAGGGCCTGCGCGCGCTGTATAAAGGCTGCTCGGCTATGATAGTGGTATGTACCTGACCTAATTTTTGTTTCCTGTCTACCTATCTATCCGCTCGCATTTATCTACCTGTTTGGGAGGGTTGCCCCCCTTTTTTTATTGCTCCAGGACCAGCTGCCGACCTCTTACTGGATATGGCTATGCTGGCACTGAAACTTCCCGGTAGTTCAGGGGTGGTTTGCGTAGGTAGCTATGGAGGGTGGGTGTTGATAGAAGTGCCGAACGAGGCCCGTTTCAACGGCTTTGTATAGTCTGCTCAACTGTACGGTTGCAATAGGAGGCTTAAAGCCTACGAATCGTTGTCTGCTATAACCCCTTTCTGCTAGTGGCAGTAGACATGTGAGACTTACACAATATCTTATGATAGAGAGAGAGAGGGATTATGGATCTACTTGAGAAGAATCTAAATTTTTTATTTCAGTTTTAGATAGATATTCACATGTTTTAATCTTTCATGACTGTGCATTCGCTAAGCGGAGCAATATCTCCAACTTACATGTATCAACACTTTCTCTACTATCTCCTATTACACACATACACATACACATACGTACCGGTAGATCCATCCGTTGATCCATATGAGACAACTTACTCGTCCAACATGTAGGGCTCCATCGGCAAAGACGCAGTGCGCTTCGTCGCCTTCGACAGCATCCGGACTCTCTTCGAAGACCCGGAGACGCACCGGTCCACCACGGCGCAATCCATTGCAGCCGGCATGCTAACCGGCATCGTAGCCTCGACCGCCATCGTCACGCCCTCGGAGCGCATAAAGACCGCTCTGATAGACGACGCCCGGACGACGCAACGCTTCCGGTCGCCAGCGCACTGCATCGCGTCCCTCTGGCGAGAGCAGGGCCCCGTGCGTGCCCTATACAGCGGGTACACCACCACCACGCTTAAGCAAGTCGGCACAACCGGGTTCCGGCTGGGCTCGTACACCGCGCTGAAGGACTGGGAGCGCGGGCACGGGATCCAGGTCGATGGCGCCGTCGCTAGTTTTGCCAACGGCGCGTTTGCCGGCACGCTGACTACGCTTGCCACGCAGCCTTTCGATACCGTGAAGACGAAGGCGCAGCAGGCGCGTGCCGTGCGCACGATGGATTGCGTGCGTGCTATTTATGCCGAAGATGGTGTTAGGGGGTTTTGGCGAGGGACGGTGATGAGGCTTGGGCGCACTGTTATGGCGGGTGGGATATTGTTTACGGCGAATGAGCAAGCGCTTAAGTTGTTGAAGAGTGTATTTGGGTAACCTCAAACCCCTAGATGTGTCTAGATTAGTGTTATGTTCCATGTATACCTACCTCTCTAGACCGTATATTGCTTGGTGTTATATAACCTCCAGTCATAGATATCAAGGATAGATATAGACTTAGATAGGCAAATAAAGATAGCCAAAGAGAGGTCCTGGTCATATCTTAGGTCACAGCAACTGGATGTGCTAGTTACGCAATATTTACTAGACAAGTTAACTGTTTAGTAGCTTTCTGAATTTGAAGACCAACAGGTATTGCTCGACTAGTCTTTGTCCACCTTGTTTTCTAGACGAGGAGACAAAGACAGCCATTCTTAAGAGAAAAGTTCACGTATTATTATGACGACCTGGGTAAGCAACTTCACTGTTTTCGAAAATTCGATTTGATGGTATCCATCACTATCCTGCATTGCAATAGAAATTCTAGCCATAGCAAGAAGGGGTATCAAGACAGGACCCTTTTCCCAGAAGAACGCGACGGCAGACACTCGTCGTGCGAGGTCGGAAGTTCGCCTATTAAACAAGAGTTGTCGTAGCGCATTTGTAGTAAAGTAAGATAGACCTCAGAGTAACACTCGTTTCTCCTCTCCTCTCCTAATGCCTTTTTTGCAAGGCTTCCGAGACTAAACTTCTGGCCATCCACCCACTCGGAAGAGGCTCATATGGGGAGGTAGTCTCCCATTATAGAGTGAAAATTCTCTGCTTAACTGCTCTCCTTTATTTTCCTTTCCTTCTCTCTTCATTCAACCGGGTTAGGAGGGAGAAGCTGCCAACCCGGAACCGTCTTGAAGGGCTGATTACGGATATAGGTGCTAATATCAGTTTGGCGCGCACATTCATTGACGTAATCGTGCACCTGGGGAAGGACAAAGCCTTGTTCAGCAGCATTGCCCTTGAACTCCGGTATTTGAATGATATTGTACGGCTCGGTACGTGCTTTCTCGACTGAGTCGTCCACTAGTACCGTATCAGCCTGGCTCCAGCGCTTTCCTTCTGCAAACTCTGGGTGGCTGGCTGCAACTACAGGGTCAGCCCATAGTGCACTTAGACGCTTATAGCAGAGAACGCGCAGGTAGTAGTCTTCTTGTGTCAAACCAAAGTGGTCACGTCCCCAGACGGCAACAACACGGGAGCGCTGCTCAGGCGTGAGGAGTTGCGCACACATCCTGGTCACATTGTTTGGCTTCGCTGAAGACCATATAACTACTTTGAAGGTATCGATGCAGTAGCGCAAGAAGGTGCGGGCATGAGGGCGCTCTATGAAGGCTGTAGGGTTGTGTCGGCTGGGCCGGTACAGCAGGGTTCCGTTAAGGTCGATAACCACGAGGATCTTGCGCGCGTATGGCAATTGGAAGGGCGGATACGCCGCTAATGTCAGATACTCTGGAGATGGATCTGGGACACCACCTGACGCCGCAGATGGCTGGACTTTCTCGTCCCTATTATTCTTTGGCTTCTTGGATTTGGGATGTTTGCCCGGCCTTGCGCCATTGCCGTTAATGATTGCTGGGCTTTGTGAGCGAGATGCCTGGGATCCTATGAAGGAAGGTGGTGAGTAGGGAGGAGAGTCGGTTTCAGGTGGTGGTGTAGGAGTGTTCATAGGTATATTGGCGATAGGCGCGAATGATGTGAAGAATGTGAGAGCCTGCGGTTGAAATTGAGGCTGAAGTTGAGGTTGAGGTTGAGGTTGTTGAGGTTGAGGTTGTTGAGGTTGAGGTTGTGGTTGTGGTGGTGGTGGTGGTTGTGGTTGTTGTGATTGTGGTGGTATTTGTCCTTGATGGTATACAGGGACATACTGGGAGGTTTCCGGGTTAAAAGGCCCATAGGGGAGAGGGGGTGGATATCCCCATTGGTATCCCCAGTCTCCTGAACTCATGGTGAGAGTTTCTTTGTTCTGGTGCGGTGAGTTGTGTCCAAGTTGGGAGAATGCCGGACGTGTTGCGACGGTTGATGATCGACAAGCTGCCGAGACACCTGTGTATTTAAATGACGGCTTCAAGAGCCCAGTAGACACTTTTGCTACGCTACGCAGCACATTACTGTGAGAAACGTGCCACATGGAGGAAACTGCGCAGCAAATGTTTCTTCACAAAGCCATGAAGTGAAGATACTTGTGAATTGAAAACTGCGCGCAAGCAGCACTAAAACCAATGCGACCCGACGCTTGGTGGGGCCTAAAATATTTATCGATAACAAATTAGGCTAGGTTAGTATTGTCTTATCGTCTTATCACCGCCACTTTTTTTATACATTGCGCTACCTCAACGCACCTATCATTCACAAGTACATACATACAACATCGAAAGCTCAATAGATCAAACAACCCCCCTTATCAAAATGGAACGAATAGGGGCCCACAAGCGCAAGGCGCCACTTGCAAGCTTACAACGTCGTGTAAAGGCGAGAAGAGATGAACCGGAAGAGATCCCCAGCGACCAATCCCAAGGAGAGGAGAGTAGTGAGGACGAGGGTTCCGAAGGACAGAGCGACGAGGAAGAGGATGGCGATGAGGTATGGAAACCAAATTTGCGAATGGAAACCGATGAGCAAGACTCTAATAAATCTCATAGTCAGGTTCCTCATCTGAGGAAGACGAAGACGAAGTAGAAGACCCATCAGCAGCCGCCTCACACATCTCCTTCGGCGCCTTAGCCAAAGCTCAAGCATCTCTCCCCGGTACGCGGCGAGGGAAAGGGCGCAAAGGCCAAGACGAGGCAGAGGAAGAGGCAGAAGACAACGACAAGCAGCGCAAAGACCCACGATCCGAGTCCAAAGCGAAAACACCCATGCCGCACCGTACCAACAAGCACGCCCCCACCGAGCAAACCAGCAAGCGCCAAGTCACCCGCCGACGAGAAGTCATAGCAACGCACAAGCCCGTAGCGCGAGACCCGCGATTCTCCGCCGCCGTCCAGGGACGGCCCATAGACGAGGAGCGGCTCCACCGCGCCTACGGCTTCCTCGACGAGTACCGAGACTCCGAGATAGCACAGCTACGGGCCGCGGCCAAGAAGACCAAAGACGCGGCCGCCAAGGAGGAACTCAAGCGCGCGCTAGCCTCGATGGAGGGCAAGAAGAAGGCCCAGCAGGCGCGCGAGGCGGAGCGCAAGCTGCTCGAGGAGCACCGCCGGCGGGAGAAGGAGCTCGTGAAGCAGGGCAAGAAGCCCTTCTATCTCAAGCGCAGCGAGCAGAAGAAGCAGTTACTCGTCGACCGGTTTGCGGGCCTGAAGGGCAAGCAGGTTGATCGGGTGATTGAGCGGCGTAGGAAGAAGTTGGCCTCGAAGGAGAGGAGGGATATGCCGATGGAGAGGCGGGAGAGGTCATGATGGATAGATGGATATACCAGGTGACGATGATGATGATTAAAGGGGTTTTGATGTTACGAGCAGCATGGTAGGGTCTGGCATATACACATACATAGGTACCTACCTAAGGTTAGGTACATAGCCCGCGACCTGCGGTTTATGACAGTTATTATGACTATAAACAAAATGATAACATTTTCCCGCAGTTCTATCCACCCCTTTAATGCTCCGTTGCCCTTATTCCATGTGACATATAACCTTGGGTAGGTAGATTGTTTATACAGAGGTGAGTGGTGGGTATAATCCGATTGATACATTCATATCCCCTATCACACAACAACATCCACATCCATCTTCTTTATCGCTCGGTCGAACAGCTCGCGGCACCTCACGCGGGCGCCCAGCTTAGCGCAGAGCAGGAAAGCACCGCTTAGTTTGCGGTGTAGACTGTACGTTTCCTCGGGTGGGGGACTCAGACGCTCGCGGATCATGGTGGGGATGAGCGCTTTGACGCGCTCGGTAATGGTCTGGTCGTTGAAATCGTACACCTGAGGCGCCGAGTGTAGGAACGGCTCGGCTAGCGTCAGGATCGAGGTCACGTGTGCGTCAAGCATGGTTTTACTCTCGTGGCCTGTAAGATATCCTAGGCTGCGTGATAGTTTGAGGACGGTGTGGCGGTCAGAGCGTGCGGCGGCAGCGAGTAAACCGACGTATTGGATGACAAATTGCTCTGGGAATTCGCGCGAAGCACCGAAGTCGAGGAGCTCGAGTTTCTGGGTATCAGCATTGTATAGGAAGTTAGTCCAGTTAGGATCCGTCTGCATGAAGCGGAACTCTGTGATCTCGCGCAAGCAGAGCCGCAGGATCTGTGTGCCGATCCAATCCTTCTGCTCCTGCGTGAATGACTGGTTCCGTGTCACGCCTACTCCCTCCATAAACTCCATCGTTATAACGTGTTTCCCCGAGGCCTCTGCGTAGATCTTGGGCACAAGGAAAACGTCCGGCTCGTCGGACAGAAGCTCCCGATACCGCTGCCCGCACTGGGCCTCCCGCTCGTAGTCGCATTCCCAAGCTAGTTCTGTCCGTGCGTTGTCGATCGTCTTGTTAAGATATAGTCCCTTGGGTAGCATCTTAGAGGCGGTTAGAAGCATAGATATGTTGTCTAAGTCCGAATTGATTGAGTCTGCAACGCCTGGGAATTGGATCTTAACAGCCACCTTTTCACCTGTAGATTTAAGCGTTGCGCGGTGCACTTGGCCGATCGACGCCGCTGCGATCGGTTTGTCTTCGAACTCGCCAAATAACTCCCGCCATTCAGGTCCGAGGTTGGCCGTGAGCACGCGGTCACGCTGCCACGCGGGCATGTAATCGGCTCGATCCTGGACTCTCTGGAGGACTTCCTGAATGGGCGCGGGAAGCATCTTGGAGTCCTGGAAACTCATCAACTGGCCCATCTTCAGCGCTGCGCCTCGCATCCGGGAGAGCTTAGCAACGAGCCGCTCCATGTTCCCAGAGCTGAGTAACACCGAGCCCTTACCGCCGCCGCCGAGGCTTCTACTAAGCCCTTCGGTGATGGCGCCGCCTAGCATTCCGGCGGCTAATCCCCCGTAGTTCCATAATCGGCCTAAGCGGGTGGATGGTACCTTGGATTCCCGGAGAACATACGCCGGTCTTGTCGACCCGTCATTGAACATGGCTTCTGTTTCGACTGTTACGTCCGGTGGTATCTCTATTTCTGTTCTGGGCAAGATTTCATCAACCATCTGAGTGTGTTCCTTCTCAGCCTCCTGGCTTATAGGTTCTTCTCTAGCAAATAGGGCATCAGTATTGACTTCCGTATGTGTCGTCTTCTTATTCGCCGCCGAGTCCCTCGGTGTTGCCGAAATTTCAGCAATAGGAGGCGATGCCTGGGTCTCCTCTTTGTGGGGTTTTACTTGTCCATGGCCGTAATCTTTAAACCACCCAGGGGACGGAGCCGCAATATTAGGCCGATTTGCACGAAGTATATGTTTTTGTCCCTCTAATATTTGTGAACCTCGATTCGTGTGAAATACATTTACATCCACATCTGAAGGAACACCCTCCCCAACTGGGGAGCTCGAAGCGACGCCCGATGTTGCTAAACGGGGTTCAGAAGTACAATTTAATTCGACCTTGGTGCTTTTTTCAGCTTCCTCGGCTTTTTTCCTTAGTTGAGCTAGAATTGCACTTTGATCCGGCTGCACCACTGAGGAGTGCTGTGCGGATGCCACGTCATCTGGTGAGCCGTGTCGAAAAAGTTTCCTATAGGCATCTTGCTGGTCTAAGGGTGAGGCTCTAATATCTTCAGCATCCTTTTGTATATCCCTTAATGGAGGAACCCTTGCACCAGGTTCTATACTTTCGGCTTGGGTTGCAGGTAAGTCGGACTGAGTAATTGTATCACGAGTTGGTTCTTTACCATTACCAACTGAAGCATTAGCAACGCTAGATGTTTCCGGGTGGATAGGATAAGTGCCCGACTTCTTCTCTCTCAAAGACCGCACAATACTTGAGGTTCGGCCGTAGCGATCGATCTGTCGAGCTCGGAGCTCTATATGTCTCGATGCAACAGACCGAGATGCTTGGACGACAGCAGCCAAGTCGATAATAATGTCCGCGAACCTCATAGGGGCGACTTGTTTGAAAAGCAGGTATCTACCTCATACTCTCACCCTAGTCCTATCTTTTAAATCCCACCTCCATAAATTTTGGTTAGTGCTAAGTGAGAGTGAAGTTGAGACGTCACTGGTTCTAAAGAGCTCAAAAAATTGAGGGTACGTAGACCCAAGCTCCCGCCACATTGTGGCTTACATAGCTTCCCTCCGAATTCCATCTTATTAGGTACCTTAGGTACCTAACCTACCTATAGGCGTACCTACCTAGGTAGAAGTCCAACACCAACAAAATCAAATTGGTGTTAGACATGAGACCGAAAAAAATGAAATAAAATGATAGAAATAGGATGTAAAAGTATATTTATCCTACGTATCCATCTTAGATTTCGAACAATGAGTCTTAGTGTAACTAACCAAGTTAAGAAATTTAGAAATGTTCTTCACTCAGGATATTTCAGTACTTTTAGTTATGAATTGTATTATCAATGCACTAACCTACATGTTAGTCTAGGCGATAAAATAGCGATCTAGTATAACCTACAAGTTTCTATCAAGTTAAATACATATTGAATAACTATTGTTATGAGGCTTATATCCGCTACCGAGGCCTCATACTGAACCCCTAAAGTGCCATTTGGTTAATAAACTAATGCTAGGTATCATACAAGCTTTGAAGTGCGGCTATAAGTACCATGTATGGAAATAAGCTACTATCGTGACCATATCCGCCCCTTGTTTAAGGAGGTGTGGGCCTCGTATGACTGACTTCGGGAGAGTATCACCTTTCTGACACTTCCCGACCGGCAAATACTAGTCACAGCGTAAAAGTTTACATACATTCATTTGATTGTATGGGGTGCTAAACTGCCAATATCCGTACGGGTATTGCGCTCCTGTTTCTCTTGGAAGTTCTAACTTTGAACCAATAGAATCTATGCTGAACAACTTCTAGGCATTATGAGTACTCTAAGTAAAATAAGAGACGATGTCTGTCTAATTCGTAGATTGATAGAAGGATCTTGATGTTTCTCATCCGAAGACTGTTAAAGACAAGGATATTATAAGAGGTAATGAAACAAAAACCACCACCTCTACGGTATCTTCCGTGTAATAACCTTACTATCTTACATATATAGCTATTTTAGATGAACTCTTACTTGGAATCATGACAATAAAGCACTGTAAATCACTAACATAATCTCTATCCCCGTGTATAACGGAGATCCGCCATGATAAAGAGGAATATCCCCTTTAGAGGATCCTCTGGGTTAGGGAAATTTGCTATCACGCTGTCAATAGTAGCGTATATAATGTTCATAATACCCCTATTTTGTTAGTATCTCTCTACACGTGGCATGGTTCTTAGGTTTGTAGATCAAACATATGTCATCCCTCAACCGGTAATAGCTGAAACGAAGTTTCACTTGATTCCATATCCGATTATATATTTTCACGGTATCTATCACAGTGTTGGACTAAGTGCGTAGCGGAACTTGTTTTATGAAATGGTCGGAACGGATGGCGGCCTGATTGCATATCAGTATTACTGATGTAAATAAAACTGACGATTCGGTTTGAGTGAAGTCCCCTGTCTCGGCTACGTTTCTAGGTCAGCCCAGGAGGATGTTCAATAAAACAAATCACGAGAATACATCGGACCAAATCAAGTTATATATGTAGAAAAATTTAGGATATTCGCGTCTTTCTAGCTAAATCATCTACGGCAGCCATCACCGTCTATATCGCAGGACCTTTCTAAGGCCCTTATTCCGTAGCATTCCGCCGCCGCCATGATCTTGGTTTGTCATCCAGTCATCGGGAAATGCAACACCCTCTCCCAACATTGTACAATATTCCCTACTAGTTCACACAGGATAGTTACTACAGGCGCTGGTCATGCCATCGCAAAACCACCCAAGAATGAATCAAAAGAAGGGAGGCGACTCCCGTCTTTCTGATGGACGCCTGTATATGCATGATATTTGGCCCACCAATCCTCATTCTGCTGTAGAATTAGAACTAGCATATTGGCCCAGTGTCTGTTTTGGTATCGCACCAACCACACAACGCCTTTCAGTAGAAGAATCGAATCGAAGGAAAAAAAGAGGTACAAAAGAACGATGGAGTTAATCGTGCTTTTGTAAAGAAAGGATACTGTTGAAGGAAAGTTAACGAGGGAGTGAGAGTCTCCTTGGTAAGAAACACGGGTTCTAATAGTACATGTCGATTCATCTTTTTGTCTATAACCTCAAAAGCGGGCGATATAGTATCCGCTTGTCCGTTAGACCTTAAATCCAATTAGGCCTGCTATTTGCAGCGCTGCTTGAATTGCCACGACTTCGAGGTGGCAATTCTGTCGACGTGCCCTGTACGGGCGTGGTATTTGTCCTACGGGGGATATTGAACCCAACCCCCCTTGGACTCGGCGTCTTCGCTTTCGTAGGACTATTTGGATCGTAGACTGTCGGGTTTAAGGTACAGTCACTTCTCTCGGCTTCGGACCTGGCAGGCGTTGCTGGGAGATTTTTCATCCTCGAATCCCTCGAATAAGAGCTCTGTGGCGGTGTAACATTTGATACGTTGAATGCAAGAGGGCTCGGCCGATAAATATTCAACTCTTCGTCCCGGGGAAGGTCTAGAGAATATACTCTTTCGGCCTCTGTGGAAACCTTGCTATTTATCGGTCCAATATCTGCGATATTTGAGATACGTATACCTATTTGAACCGTTGTGGCTGAGCTTATGGAAGAGTTTCGGGTATGGCCACCCCAGGAAGTTCGGATTGACGGGGGTGGTCGAAGTAGGTCATCCAAATCGTCAGGAGGAAGCCCATTCACGGCAACATTTGGCTCGGGGTTAGGATTGTAGGCAGTTGATGGTAATAATGCAACTGAGGTGGTGTTTTGGTTTTTGTTGGGAAAGAGTGTGTAAGATGCTGATGGTTTTCGGTTGTGTGAATTGGCTGAAGTGGTAGGTATTTGAACAGGCTCTGGGGCTCGTGGAAAAGAAAAGTTCGGGGTATCGGGTAGCGCATTGGACTTTAGGGGATTTGGTTTCATCGGACTGTACATCGGGGAATCCATAGAATACGAGCCCTCACCACGTTCCATGGCATCGCTATTCTCATTCACAAGGTGCTCCTGACTTTCCGTCTTCGAGAAAGACCCAGGGCCCGATACTGGCTTGAGTATATGACCGTTAAAATCCATACTGGTTGCCGCCCCGGATTCATATTGATTTTTCAACTTTTGGCGCTCATATTCGGCCAGTTTGGTGCTAGAACCGATCGTGGCAATGGCGTTAGATCGAAGAAAAAGATGAAGGCCTCCGGTTGTGAGCCCCGAAACATTAGCTACGACAGTTGCAATCATCGATAATGTTAACCCGGAACCACCACTATCCTCCATAGGATTTGCAAAAGTGAGGGATACGAAGAACGGGACGATTAAAGCCTGTGTATAGTTAGTACGTGTGTATCTTGATGGCAAAGCGTCGAGTGCTTACATTAGTTACGACTGCTAAAGCAAGGAAGTACACCATCCTAGAAGCACTTATCCGCTCGGAATCTTCGATGGTCGAGTACCGTGTTAATTTCAAGAAGATGATGAAGGTGCAGATCACTAAAGTGACTGCGATAAGGAGCAGTACCACAAAGCCGCCCTCGGCCCATTTTGCTACAAACCAGAAGAGTGAAGCAAAACAGAAAGTAGGAGGCCGAATGAAGTTGCCGACCAAACCGGTGGTTAATAAGAGGACCCCGACCACGGCGAGACAGATCGGAACATCCCACTTGCCTCTCGGGAGAAACGGTCTGTTTCTGAGAGCTCGGATGGTAACTTCTAATCCGAAGACCAGCTGCATATAAGGTACGATGAAAACCGCTGAAGAATTGTTTAGTATAGTGTCTTGTCGATGTTCTGGTCATATCGAGTACTACATACCAGGCAACATGAATTGCGATATCAAAGAGCAACCGCGTAGGAATATATCGTTTAAGCCATATGACTGAGAGACGGCAAATATAATGCCTTGGATTGTAATTCCTAAAGATAACATGAAGGGGTACGTCACAGGCCCTTGAACACAGCGGAAAATATTGACCCTTATAATCGTCGTAAGCACTACGTTTATGGTCCGTTTTGGGGGCTATGATAACTCACCTCTGCTTGCCTTCTGGATTTGATCGTTTCGCTGTTGTGTAGCAGTCATAATAAATGCCGGCTGCCGTTGCAAAAGCCGATACGGTATTGAAAGCGGCGAGGATGATTGTTGATTGCCGTATCGAACTTGCGGCCATGACCTTGAACTGATTAATGACACCAAATGTCGAGTTGCTGTTAAAAGCAGCTTGTGAGAATCCATTTGGATAGCCCAATGAACTCATATTCCCCTGCCAGTCGTTGCCCATATTACTGAACCCGTGAAATTTATCCATGTTGTCTAACATGGCTTATGCCCAAGTTTGGTTGATATCAGGCGAGGGCTTCGGGCCAAAGAGTCGCCTGTCGTTGTAGCCAAGTCATCTAACTAGAAAATGTGCCCGGATCGTGCTCGATATTATAGTGTGACGTTCGTTAACGAACAGGAGGATGAAAAGGCAACGGGATGCAAAGCAAACATAGAAATATGCTATACAAAGAGCCAGCTCGTGAAATTAGGAAAAAAAAATCCTGGACCAGCAGTTATCAGGTCAAGCCTGAACGAAGAGAAACGAAAGGATGATGACGACCACAGACGAGTGTAGGCCGGTGAAATGAAGAATGTGCACCTAGCCACAAGTCTCCTCCAGAGGAGATGGCAAAATGAGAAGAATGCATCGAAGAAATCGATAATAAGGGACAGGTACCTCGAGGGCTACTCCGAGGGTAGCAGTTCCGCGCGGGCCAGCCCAGCTCCGAGTTCGACTAACGGCTCGTTCTGCAAGATCGTTCAAGGGTACCGTCATCGTCTTGGTGCTTGCACGGTCCAAGCTGGGAAATAGAAACACTCGCGATTGGTTACAACCGACCGACGGCGGCGAGAGCCCACACTGGTGAGGCTGCCTACTGGCCATATCGATTCATCCAAAATGAACAAGCCAAGTACCTTTCGGACGAGATCCTATGAACTTCTAGGGTCCAAGTACACGGGCAATGCCAATTCGAGCTAG